TGCTCAGCAGATACACAACTCGCCAAATTTGTGAAAAACCATTCCCAAGATTCATCATTTTCAGAATCTACGATCCCAAAAGCCAATGGATATATCTGAAAATTACCGTCTTGTGCGGCTGCAACCAACATAGTACCCTCATACTTTCCACTTAGGTGAGTCCCATCCACCACAATGACCCTTCTCTGATACTTAAAACATCTGATAGAAGCTCCAAAAGCGAGAAAAAGATACTTAAATCTTTTCTCAGAATCATATTCTATAGCAGTGATAGAACCCGGATTTGTTGCCTTGATTTGCTCCAAATATGAAGGAAGTCGCTCATACCCATCTTCTGCGGATCCTCTCACCAATTCTTGCGCATATAAAAATGCTCTGTATGAAGTGGTGTAATCAAGTGTCATGCCAAACATGTTCTTCATTGCATCTTTGATATGCTGCGGATTCAACCCATCAATGATTCCAACACGGTCTATGAAGAGTCGACCAATGTACTTCGGAGTAGAGTGTTTCCGCCCAGCGATTCTGTCTCCGGTGGAACATGTATGAGTTTTCAAATACTTGGTTACCCAAAACGTCTTAGTCCCATGTTTCACACTTGCTCTGATCTTACATTGACAACCACTAACCCGACATGTTGCCACAAAGAGAGTTTTTGTTGACTTGTAAATTCTGAAGGAGAACCTGCGCCTCACCGCGCTCAGCCGCAACTCTGAAAGCAGTGCATCCTTGCTAGTAAAACTCTGGTTTACATAGATTCTTTCTGCAGATGATCCTTTTCCCTCACAGCCATATGCCTCTCCGTAATCTTNAAAGCTTGATACACAAAGACGTACTTCTTGCGTTTTGGTTATCTCGAGCAAGTTTCGAACTTGTCTATCACTTGTAACATGAATAGGAGGAAGGTCTGGAGCTGGTAATGAGTAGCTAATCTCCACAGTGACTGTGCTCATGTCCAGGTTATAATCTTCTTGAGCCATTGCCACAAGTTCAGCATGTGTTGAATCTTCAATCAATAAAAACAATCTTGCTCCTTTGAAACGATCAACCACAAAATTCCAACAACCATCTTCCAACAACCATTCTCCATACACTGCACGTAACTGATGCATCATTGGAGATAGTAAAAATAAAACACATTAGCAAACATAGAAGAAAGAAAAAGAAAGTTTATTAGAGATCGAAGCAGACGACTGAAATGTAAGTCATCCAGACGACTAAACATTCAGTCGTCTGGTCAACGCAGAGGTTATTTTTGCAATTGACTTTGAAATTAGTTAGTCGGGACGACTGAAATATCAGTCGTCTGGGTATGTTTGATAAAAAAAATCCAGACGACTGAAATTTCAGTCGTCGAAGGTTAGTTTTGCATTTGACTAGAATATTTCAGAAGTTTGACTTTTTAGGACGACTTACATTTCAGTCGTCTGCGAAAAAATGAAATATCAATTTTTAATTGAAATTGGATGACTTACATTTCAGTCGTCGTAGGTTAGTTTTGCAATTGCGAAAACACACTTCAATATTTAAAAAAATCTAGACGACTGAAATTACAGTCGTCTAGAAAGTTAAAGTTTTTTTTCACAATTGCAAAACTAACCTATTGTAAGTCGTGCGTTCCAATAAAAAATTGATATTTCAGTTTTTTCGCAGAAGACTGAAATTTCAGTCGTCCTAGAAAGTCAAAATTCTGAAATTTTTTTGTCAAATGCAAAACTAACATACGACGACTGAAATATCAGTCGTCTAGATTCTTAAAATATTTTTTTGTAGCCAAAATAAAGCAGACGACTGAAATTTTTGTCGTCTCTGGAAACAAATTGCAAAGTCAATTGCAAATATAACTTCTGCGTTGACTGGACGAAAGCAGACGACTGAAATTTCAGTCGTCTGGACGAACAGATCGCAAAAAATAACTCGATTTCATACCTTCAATTGGTGAGAGCACTTTCTTTGACTATATGAACCCTAGAAAATGTAGAATCAAGCACTCAGGAGTTCAAACAAAGGTAATCCACCTTGAATCTTTAATTTCTTTGACTATATGAACCCTAAAAATGTAGAATCAAAATCTTGGGTTTTTTTAGCTCATTGTGGAGAGAAAGTGAGAGATATGTGTTGTAATGTGTTGTTTAGTTCATGAGAATAGAGAAAGAAGAAGGGTAAATGGAATTTGGAGGCATTAAGAGTTTCAAAATTGGTTGTTCATGGTTGTTGGAGTATTGATGACAATGGCAATCTTGTAATTACTTGAAGATGATGAGGGTGAGAGAGTAGATATGTTATTTTCGAAAAAAAAAAAAATTTGATGGCATTTTCGTGAATTATATGAACTTGTGGGGTGAATTGGACAAAATAAAATTCAAAAAAAAAGAGGTTAGTTTTGTGGTTGACTTCAAGTTTCAGGTCAATTCTGCAAAAAGCCCTTTTTTGTTCTACTTTTGCAATTTTTTGTGCTTGTTTGTTATTTGTGTCAATCTATTTGTGTTAGTTTAGTGTGGTTTTTGGAGATGTCATGTCCTTCCCCTTTTATTAAGTTATCTGATTCTTTCTTATAGTTATTGTTGTATATTGTACTTGCGGCTTCGTCGGGTTCTCTGATTACTTGAGCCCTAGGGTTAAATAAGAGATTCATCTTTGTCTGTCCTCAATTTATGTTTGTGTTGACTAGAGCACATGTCTATGGAGAATGCGAGAGATGATGAATGTACATCAGGTTTGTGACTATTAAAAACTTTTCTCCATGAATTTGGTTGTAGGTTTTAATGAGTTACATATAAAATTTTTAAAGTAAAAAGTAAGTGTTTAGTTTTAGGGAAAATAGTTTTTTTAAACCAAAACCATTAGGACATTGTCCCTTTAGACTAATTTCATTTACTTATTGTCCTATAAGACTAAATATTTTCTAAATGGCAATATTGCCCTTAAAATTAATTTATTAATTTGTAATTATAATTAGAAAATCATTATTATCTATTTTAGATTTAATTAAAAAACTAATTTGAAATTAAAAAATAAAAATAAAAAATCCCCAAACTAATTTGAAATTAATTTTTCCTTTTTAAAAAAAAATGAATTTAAAAATATGGAAACTGAATATTTGCAAATATTTTCTCATATTTTCGGATCTTATTATTTTTATCTGTATAATACATATTCTACTAAAGGAAGAACTCAGTAAGAATGTTTGAAATCAGTTTCTACAAGTATTAGAATGATAATAAGAATGTAGATTCTGATTTCTACTTATTTTAGATTTATCGAAATGTTTAGATTCTGGTTTCTACCTATATTAGAAGAATATGTTAAACGTGAAATGTGTATTCCAAAATATTTTAGATTACTGTAATTTCCGTAGAACACGTATTCTCAAAATAGTAGAAATAATGAAAAAGGTAGATTTAGTATTCTACTAAGTAGGACACGAATTCTAATATTTGTAGAACAAAATATGAAACTATGATTTACACAGTTTAAAACTAGAAAAAAAAAATCACTTTATTAACATAGGTATTTCATCATTGGCTACTATTTTAAAAATTTATTTTGGTTCATAAATCTATTTATTTTATTAATTTCTGATAATAATAAAGGGCGTTTAGAGTGAAAAATGGTACAAAAATATAATTTAGCTTAAAGGGACAATGTCCTAATCGTTTTGGTCTAAAAAAAATAAATTCCCCTTAGTTTTATTGCTTTCTAAAGCCAACAAAAAAGAAAAAAAAAAGAAAAATCTGTAATTTAAAAAAAAAAATTATAAAGCATGATTAAAAAGGATTTTTGAATTAGATAATTTAAGCTCACTCTACGGCACTTGTAAATCACTTGCCAACCCCCTAAGTAAATTGACGCAATAAAATTCATCCAAATAAATGTGCTTTACAGTACCCAAAAGCCCATGATAATAAAAAGGCCCAATACTATTTTTCTGTATATGTTTCAGCTTCTTCTACACGAAGAGTAGAGTACGGACAGTTCGGAGAGCAATGGAGTTTTACGACGAAGACAGGCCTAGAATCGTCTTCCGATCTCGTCCTTCTTCTTCTCGCACGGCAGAGGAGGATGAAGATCCTAAACCACCTAACAAGATCTTCATATCAGTCTCCGTCGTTACCTCTCTCCTCATTCTATCACTCTCCTTCTTCTACTTCGAATCCGAGCCTACCAAATCACTCCTATTATGGCTTTCAATCTCCGTCCTCCTCGGTCCTTTTGCGCCTTCCTCGCTCACCGGTGGTAGAGTCCGCGTCGGTTACGGTCAGATCTTGGAGCCAGAACAGATCAGCGGTGAGCTGCCTACCGACAACGAACGTGAATCGAAGAGGAACAAACGATCTAACAAAATGGCGCCAGTTAGCTAGGGAGAGAATCCGTTGTGATAAATAAACGTCAAGATGCTTTTTTCATAGTAGTTGTTAGATTGTTTCTGTGTAATCGACCTAGGCTTGGTGATCCGCGATCTCTCCAATGAATGTGAGTTGCTGAAATGTAAGTTGCATAGAGTCATAAGGTCATGCTAGGAACCTTACTTATAAGGTCATGTCTTGTGTTTTTGATGTTCAAAAGATTTGCTATTTCATCCTGAAGCATTTGTTTAACATATTTTTCATCCACCATGTATTCATGTCAAACCAACCCCATTACGGTTTGATTCACTATTACATCTGTTAGTTTGTGGTCAAATTTAATCATGAATGTAATGCTTTGTAGTTTGAACAGAACAATAAAAAAGGCATATACTATATTGAGTTTGGTGAAAGGGACAAAAGGGTGTGATCTTAGCATGAAATTGGTTTAGGCTGAACAACTTGTTTCCAGTTTATGATTTCTATTTCTAGTATAATGTTATTTACAGATATCTATCCTTTAGGCTGAAGAACTAATCCATAAGCATTGTTGTAGAATCTCGGAATCCTCATTCAATGTAAGCTTCCATCTTTAGGGCAACAAGTGTTCTTGCATTCAGTGGTCTTCTGTCTTATTTTGGTAACATTCCATTGAGATTTGCCCAAAAGGCACATGTACACAATTTTTATCTCTGTCTTTACACAACTCCCTTTTTATGTCATAAAGTTCCTGAAGTTGAATCTATTACTGAAATGAATATGATCCACTTAATGCAGGGATATCTGATTGGATTAGGGAAAATATGATGAGAGGAAGAACGGTTTTGTTGTTGCTGACTGAGTTTCAAGAGTTTATGCAGGGAAAGTGTCTTTGACTCTGAAAACAATTTCCGGAGGAATTTTACCGCACTTTTGATACCATTATTCATGTTTACTTTCCTTATTAGAGGAATATTTTTAAATAGGGAAAATTTCTTAAAAATACACAGACTGAATTTCTTTTGCTAAGAAAATACACCAATTTTATAGACTTCCTGAAAAATACTCAGATTAATTTTTGTTTTCCATAAAATACATGAACTTTTGAATTTTGTAGGTTTCACACCTTAATTTTAAAGACGTTAATTCTGATTAACAGGACATTTAGACGACGTTAACTTCGAATCAAAAGTTCATGTATTTTATGGACAACCAAAATTAGTCTGTGTATTTTTTGGGAAATCCAAAAGGTTCGTGAATTTCTTCAGCAAAGAAAATTTAGTATGTGTATCTTTAAGTAATTTTCAAGAATATACTAAAGTGACAAAAACATTGTTTTTTTGTTTGAATGAAAAATGTAATGTTTGAATATATTTTGTTCATGTTGAGACCGGTTTTTTTGGAGTCGATTCGGATCTATAATTAAAATACGTGTAAAATATCGGTAACTTTTGGATCTCTATCATGTAATAGAGAATGTGTTTTTGTTCAGGTCTTTGGATCGGGTTTGGACCGGTTCTTAGATCCGAAAAAACTGAATCCGAAAAGAACCTGACCAAACCCGACTCGAAGACCTAAACAAAAACACATTCTATATCACAAGATACATATCCAAAAATTACAGGTATTTTATATGTATTTCAATTAAAGACCCGAATCAACCCTAAAAGAACCGGCTTCAACATGAACAAAATATATTCAAAATTACGTTTTTCATTTAAATAAGAAAACAATGTCTTTGTCACCTTAGTATATTTTGAAAATTCCTTAAAAATACACATACTAAATTTTCTTTGCTGAAAAAATTCACGAACTTTTTGGGTTTCTCAAAAAATACACAGACCAATTTTGGTTGACCATAAAATACATGGACTTTTGAATTAGAGTTAACGTCGTCTAACGGCGTCTAAATGTTCTATTAATCAGAGTTAACGTCGTTAAAAATGAGGTGTGAAACATACAAAATATAAAAGTTCATGTATTTTATGGACAACCAAAATTAGTCTGTGTATTTTTCGGAAAATCTAAAAAGTTGGTATATTTTTTTAACAAAAGAAATTCAGTTTGTGTATTTTTAAGGAATTTTCCCTTTTAAAATATACATAAGTATTAAGTTTTATTAAAAAGTCAAACACTCTTCTACCCTCACTTTATAGATATATAAATAAAAATTTTTATTTAAATAAAATTATTTTTATTTAAATAAAATTAATTTTATTTTATTTTTTTATTATACGTTTTCAAATTAATTTTTTCAATTTTCTTTTCTAGGATTTTCTTTTTCAAATTTGTTTATTTTTTTATTTGTAAATAATTATTTTTACTTATATATCTATACAATAATGATCGAAAATTATTTTTCCCTTCAGTGAAAAATGTATTTGTAAAAATATCTCCTTAATGAAGGAAAATATGAATTATGCTACAGTAAATGTGGTAAAAAAGAACTCCCCCTTAAAAAAATCATATATAAAAATAAATGTTAAACTAACAAATTGTTAAAAAAGGTTTTAGGGTACCAAACTAATCATATATAAAAATAAATGCTAAGCTACCAAACTATTATATAAAAATAAATGCTAAGCTACCAAACTATTAAAAATATAAAATTAAAATAAAGTTAAAAGTGTTTTCTAAAATAACATTTAATTTTTAATATTGTTCTATAACACTTTTGAAGAAAAAAATTCATAATAATAAAAATATAAAATATAAAAAGGTTTTTTCATATCTTACATCATTTTTTTATATTTTAGTTCTTTTATTAAGTAATTAGTCTTGTGATGTAATTAATAGTATTTTTTCTTCTGATGTTACCTACATAACAACATAAAGTTCATAGATGACTATGTATATCATATACTTCATGTAGTTGAGTGTGCATTTTATTATTTTGCATGGTTAGCCATGTGATGGTTGATACTTTATGTAGCTGACAATCATTTTTCTTTCAAAAAATAGATAAAATGAATATCTGAGTCTCAACTGAAGATCATAAATAATCATATTGAAGAGAACAATAAGTTATTGAAGCGATGGAGGCTTGTACTTTGGAGGTTTGTTCGATGGAGGAATGCTTATGTATCTCAATAGACACAATCTTAAAAACAAGCAAACCAATAATTAAGATATGAGCATCATTAACATGTATCATATATGATGGAGGCTTGTACGTTGGAGGTTTGTTCGATGGAGGAATGCTTATGTATCTCAATAGACACAGTCTTAAAAACAAGAAAACCAATAATTATATGAGCATCGTTAACATGTATCATATATGATCAAATCATCATTTGTTTCTATATAAAGTTTTTATTGAATAATAAATGAAATGCAATTATGTTGTTTGTGCATCTATATATTTGGTTTAATAAATTGATTTGCCAATATAAATGTTATTGAACAAGTAAAAGTAAGTGAAATATATATTTTCTTCAAAAATGTAATATCCAAATGTGTAGAACGATTTTAAACCTATAGAAAATCCAAACCGAAATTATTTAAATTAAGGATTGGCATTGCCTAAGCATAATGCATGTTGTTTCTCTGGATCTAGCGTCGAATAAGTTAATTAATATTCTAAGACTTCTCTCATAAATGATCTAAAATTTCTTGCCAAACAAGAAACAGAAATTTTACTTCTCAACTTTCATGAAATATGTTAATTTTTGAGTCTTTGGCAGGAAAATAAGGTTTTTCACTTTTTTGACGGAATTTTTCTTCTTTTTTTTTTGCGGTTTTGGCGGAATTTTTTTTTTTTGCAGTTTTGCCAAAATAATAAACGTTTTGTGGTTTTGGCGGAAAAACACGTTTTCTCGATTTTGGTCGGAAAATATATTTTATGTTTTTGACGGGAAGATGCGTTTTTCGGTTTTTGTGGAAAAATAAGTTTTTGGAGTTTTTGTGGGATATCACATTTTTCATTTTTGACGAAAAATGTGTTTTGCGGGTTTTGACAGGTAAAAGCATGTTTGCGATTTCTTTGGAAAATTGTGTTTTTCCAAGAAAATAGTTTTTTTGCGATTTTGATGAGAAAATGCGTTTTGTGGTTTTAGCTAGAAAATTCATTTTTTAATTTTAGTGAGAAAAATGTGATTTTGTCAATTTTCATGAATGACAAAATGATATTAGATTTAGGTTTGTAATTTATGAATGATATAAGAAAGTATAATACACGTTATACCTTTTTGACAAAACCATCTCCATTTAGATGGTCCAAATTGATTGAGGTAGATGGACTTTAACATTAAGCCTACAATTTCAAAATTATCTAGATAAACTGTACTTTTAATATCTAAATAAACAAAACTTTCATTTACATCCCAATGACTCATATGAATGGTGAAACAAACATACTCTTACTGGATTGAAGTGTACGGATGTACTGAGCTTAACAAGATGATACCACCAGTTCATCATTCGTTTCCTTTGACTCTGAAAACTCTGACAAATTGATCGTATGAGTATATTACTGTCATCAGTCTCCAGAGTCGAGTACATAATGGATAATAGCTTTCCACCGTACATAATTATATAGCTTCACGGGCCTGTTCAAAAAATTTGCAAAATATTCTCCCGAAATATTTGAAATTTCTCAACTGTAATCAAGATTCTGCAAAATCTTCTACATTCTTTTTACCCGAAACCAACTATCTGACCATAACTTCAGCTGGATCCAAGCTACGAGACGAATGGTTCATACATCCAAAGAATAAACTGAAAAGTGGAAACACATAGTGGGAAAATGTAACTAAAGTCATGTCCCACCGTCCAGAGAGAACAAACTCCTAATGTGCAATAATAAATAAATCAAACACATCAAAACTTATTTGTTGTTAACTTTCTTCTTTTTTTTTCTCAAGGTCGTAACCCTTGGAAATCAAGCTCAACTTCTACTACAGTAACAAAAAGACCAAGAATATAACACACTCTATTATTGACAACACAGATCACACACTGATCCGTGTAAGAACATCTGAGAGAGGAGGTCTACGCTGTTCACGCTCCCCTTCCGTTTCCCTGACTCTCGACTCTTGAGTAGCGAAAGAAGAGTAAGTTCAGAAATAAAGTTCCATAATATTTTCACTTTATTTATAGTAATTTCTATTCCATTGTTATTTTTCACCTCTATAATAATATTTGGAGGTGAAATTGCTCTAACATACCTCTATTTCTTCATCTAAAATATAGATTGTTGTATTTTCCTCTGTTTATAGAGAAATAAATAGATTTTCTCTATGTTTTTATATTTATAAATTACTATTTTAGATAAATACATTGGAGAAAATTCAATCTTTTTCTATTTTAGAGATAAAAATAGTAAAATATATTAGAGATGATCTTAAACAACTCATCTGAGGAACCATTGTCAATGTTGTCATTTTTTTTTCACTAATGTTGTCATCTTTATTTATGACTAAAAACGGTTAACAAATATTTTTAAGGTCACAATGTTTTTTGTTTTTGCTTTTTTAAAGAAAATTAAATTAACAACATACGGTAAGAATGTTAACATTGACATTCTGACCTATAAACAAAGGAAAACTCTTCTCCACATGCAAATGACGGCAGCAAAGAAGTACACTAACTATTTCTAGAAAAAGGAAGTACAATAACTTTAAAGGTTAAAATCGATTAGCTATATCATATTCAACAAGTCCAATAAAATTTAAAGAACACAATTACTTCCAAAAAACTCAGTCAGCAACAACGTAGATGGCACAATCGTAAATATCCTTACGAAAATAGGATAGGTGAAAGTTAAAACACAAGACCACTCAGCCACACAAACAAGCCAAAAAACATTAGAGCTACACATAGCAGCTGTGAAAAAATGAACTATACACAATTTTATATGGGAATGCAATATTATTTATTTGCAGCCATGTTACAAAGTGTGTCTTCTTATCCCTAGTTAAAAACATGTTAAGAATATCTCCCAAATACCAAATTTCAGTAAAAAAAATTCTCCCAAATGCACGTTAGCATTATATGCCCTGTAAAGTTCGTCTTCTTATGTTGAACATAATATATATACGGTTCAAAAATTTATAAAGGATACTATCAAACAGCTCTTCCGACGTATGTAATGCCTTATTTCCTTCTCCCATTGGAGATTTGTGAGAATTTAGCTAGTGTCATTGCACAGTTTTGGTGGAGTTCAAATCCGCCAAAGAGGGATATTCATTAGTCGACATGGGATAAATTATGTTTATCCAAAGTAGAAGGCGGAATTGGCTTTAGGTTGATCCATGATTTTAACCTTGCGCTACTAGCAAAGCAACCATGGAGACTGGTGCAGAACCCGGATTCTCTGGTACCTCGCGTTTTGAGAGGCCAATATTACAGATTGAGTACGCCTTTGCGTCAAATTAATTCTAGCAGCCCATCATATGTGTGGACAAGTATATCGGCCGGAAGAGAGTTGCTATTATTAGGAACCAGACAAAAAGTCCACTCAGGATATGAAGTTAAAGTTTGGGAAGACCCTTGGATTCATACTATACCTGCGAGATCAGCAACTCCTTTGGCACCGGTTCTGCATCCGAATATGCGAGTGAGTGATTTGTTTAATCAAACAACAAAGAGTTGGGATGATAGACGACTACACGATTATATTGCGGCAGGTGATATACCTTTCATCAAGAGTATGGCCATTAGCTCCACGCATCGACGCGACACGTTCTGCTGGAGCTATACGAGGACTGGACAGTATACAGTTAAATCTGGTTACTGGGTAGCACGAAACATCTTGAGAAAGGAGGAAGAACCTGAAGTATGTGAGCCTAGTATCACAAAACTCCAAGCACATGTTTGGAAGGTCAGGGCTCCCCAAAATATATGTCATCTTATGTGGCAGTTGATAACAGGACATGTAGCTGTTACGAGCATCTTAAACTATAGACATATGAGGTGTGACAACCACTTCCTCGATATGGGGCACCCGAGGAAACGATCAATCATGCAATTTTTGAATGCCCACCCGCAATACAAGTTTGGACACTATCGTCTACGCCTACGAATCCCGCCTTGTTTCCAGTACAAAGCACGTACGCGAATATGGATTATCTATTCTGGATGAAGAATGCGATAATGGAACCGGAATTGGACATGGATCCTTATCTTTGGCTAATCTGGTACATTTGGAAGGCTAGGAATGACAAGATATTCAGAGGTATTGATAGGGACCCATTGGAGGTAGCGCACTATGCAGAAAGTGAATGCCAAGTATGGTTCAAAGCAAATGAGCAGGAAATTCCGGTCTCCATTGGGAACATAGCAGAAGAAGACCATGCCTTAAGTTTGGGCAATATATGCATGGTGGATGGATCTTGGACTGCTACAAATGCTTTCAGTGGTTGTGGATGGGTGTTAAATGATAATTCCGGAGATAGCAAGTTAATGGGGCTGCGTAATTTTGATCGAGTGGAATCGGCGTTGCATTCAGAGTTGGAAGCACTGTGGTGGGCAATGGAGAATATGCTTCAACATTCACCATGTCAGAGCTTTGGAACTGATTACAAGGAGATGATCGAGATGCTCAGGAATCCTCATGCATGGCCTAACTTCTCAACAGAACTGGAAAATTGGAGACACTGAAGATCTGCTTTCCTGAATTCAAGATTTTTTATGTTCCTAGATTATAGAACGGCGTTAGCTAAGACATCTAGGTGTTTTTACCGTAAGCTTGTGTACGTTGGTTGTTCTATTCCGGTCTGGATTCCCAGACCACCTTAAGTTGCTTGAGTAATAAATCGGCCATTTGATGTCAAAAAAAAAAAAGGATACTATCAAAAACTGAAACATGTAGTAACCAAATACCATACCACTCGGTTCCTCACTTTGAATGCAACAAATATAGAATCAACTGAGAACATGCATAATTTTTCCAAAATTGTAACAAACTAAAAATCAATCAAGTGCGGAGCTACAAGTTGATTATAATATGAACTAAATATTAATAAGATAAACTATACTACAAAACAACTATAATAATGTTAATTAAGTCACACAAAACAAATATTACACAACTAAAAATTCTCTTAACACTAAATATCATTCAATTAATTTATCAAATTTGTGTAATCAATTTATACTCCATTCATAATGATCTAGTTGGTATTATATCGACAACAAGCCTACAACAACTACTCAAGCTACTCTCCACTAATGTCTACCGTTAGATCAGAGCATGATAACGACAAAACGGCATGAGATCCAACTCGATTACCAAATACTCACGCGACTTGGGTCTCTCACCGAATATAACCACATGTTTCATACAAAGTCAACCACAAAATCCGTAACAACCGACGATCCCCGGTTCTCTGAAAAGGAATAGCTTCACGGTTCACCGACTCAACCGGTAACAATCATACAAACTCTTATACACGTCTGTGTTGGCCACACGTTTTAATCAAAATCAGCTCTCTGCAAAATTCTTTCCGGCGAGAAAGAATAAAATAAATCTCAGGTGAGTCTCTCAATTCGATTTCGTGATTCATCATCGATCCGTTCGTTATATTTGCTTGCCCGTATATGAAGCAGATCTCTTGTATAGCTTTTACGATGGATTTTTTCTCCTTAAATCTATAACGAAATAGCTCGTTCAAAATATTCGAATTATTCCTATTTTCTTTTCAATTGGTCGTGAGTAGAATTTGAAGTTTTGGGTATTTCGATTTGTGTTCTTCCCGAAATCAATCTTCTAGATTTTGTTAGTTAATCGTCAAATTTTCAAAAATGTCAGGCTATTTTCTCGGTAGAAAAGGAAATAAAAAATGGTGAAAGAATCATCACAGTGTCCTTTTGTTGCCGAAAGCATCATCCAAAAATGCCCTTTCCTCAGGAACATCAACAAGCCCACCAGTTTCTCCCTCTCCTCCTTGAACTTTGCAGTTCCTGTAAACTTTTCTTACCCTTTTAATTTTATCTGTCCTGTTTGATTCAATGGTGGCTAAAGGACTTGACTTTTGTCTTTCAGGTGCAAGAAGGTAGTAAAGGTCCGATTTTTGAGGATGGTCCTGCGTTTGATTCTGCTTTCAAGCTCTTCCATGGTAAAGACGGTATCGTGCCGTTATCTGGATATTCTAGTTTCAGAGATGGTGTTGAAGAAGAGACTCCTCGTGCTGCTGCTCCGCAGTTCAATCCTCTTGCGGGGAAGGTAGCTACCATAAGCCTATCAGCTTTTGGTCCTGGAGGACCTTTTGGGTTTGGTCCTTTCTCAGACAAACAGAAGAAACCCAAAAAGCAACAGGTAAGATTGTAATAAAAAGACATTACTGTGGAGATCAGAAATTTAAGTCAGTTTTTGCTTTGCTTTTGTGCAGTCTGGAGAATCAAGTAAGCACGAGGCAGTTGGTGATGAATGGTTAAAAACTGGGAGCTGTCCGATCGCTAAATCTTACAGAGCTGCAAGCAAAGTCATGCCTCTTGTGGCTAAAGCATTACAGCCACCACCTGGTATGAAGTTTAGATGTCCAGCTCCTATAGTAGCTGCAAGAGCTGCACTTTCCAAGACCCCTTTGGTTAAAAGCCTTCGCCCTCAGCCTTTACCTGAGAAGATGCTCGCCATCGCTCTCATGGGGATGGCTGCAAACGTGCCTCTCGGTGTTTGGAGAGAACACACCATTAAGTTTTCTCCTTCATGGTTTGTGGCGGTCCATGCTGCTGTGCCTTTTATAGCCATGCTCAGGAAATCTGTGCTGATGCCTAAAGCAGCTATGGCTTTGACCATTGGAGCGTCCATCTTGGGGCAGGTCATTGGGTCAAGAGCTGAACGTTACCGTCTCAAAGCGTTAGCTGCGAATACAGTTGCTGTAACATCGACCGTTACGGCGGGTGATGGATACAACCAGGAGGTCTCTGATGGTTCAGGCTTTCCTAAAGGACATTGTGGTGCTGGGGAAGGAGTGAAGGAGGTTTATTACAATGTGAATGTTGGAGAATCTGCTAAATCAACGGGGCTCTGTTATTGATATATGTTCTTATTAAAACTACAAAATTACTATGTGAGGCTTGCATGTTTTGTGTGGGAAGGTATTGTATTCAATAATATTGTGTAAAACATCCTTTTATTCCTTAAAAATTGGTTATAATAAAAGGTTAATAAATTCCCCCGGTAAAAAACGGTACTTGAATCTGATTATGATCACATCACTTTTTTTGTTTTGGACAAACGATCACATCACTTATCCTTTATCTTACACAGTAAATAAAATGATACAAAGCACCATCATCTTTAGTGTCAAATAAAAAAAAAATACCAGAAAAAGAAAACTTAAAACCTGAGCAACTTAAAAACGGTCAGAACAGTATCTGACCGAGTATATAAATGTGAAGTGATAGTTAAATGTCCTTTAGTAGCTGCCAACATGTTGCCTTGGCATGCCTCCACCTGCGTTTCTTCCCGGTGTGTTCCCGTAAGCGCTATTCACGTGTTGTCCTTGTGGCTCACTCAGAAAGCTTGGGCAGTTGGCAAAAACATGATTATTGCTCCCACAAGCGTCACATAAAGTAACACCGCCAAGAGGTCCTGAGTCGCTATTGTGTTGGTTACCAAACTGATTCACTTGGTTTGCTGCAGGTAATCCAAACTCTCTGCGTGGCACGTCCACTGATGAGGTCTCTCTGGTCCCTGAGGTTCCAATACCAGAGTTAAACGCACCAGACCTGAAGTTGGAACTCTCAGGGTTTGCATCTTCTGTTCTGAGTTTATTCATTGCCTCTAGCAGGGACCTGGTATCTGAAGAATAGTCCAGCCTCTCAGCTTTCACAACAGTTGCTTTTACACGGCTCTCGTCGCTAAAAGTTTCTTCTTTAATCTTCAGCTTGAAAATGTACTTTGTGAAAGCAGCCTTACGGACGATGTCTTCAAACTTTTCCTCATCTCTGTCCTCATTTTTCATATAATACAACTCTTTCGCAGGTATTCCCATTATCACCTCACCAGGTTCCTGAAACGCTGTGGCCCAGGTTACTCCAGTATGGTCCTGTAACTGCAGCTGCAATATATACCTGTAGTCACATTCATCAAAGCATTTGTCACATTTCTCACACCTCCAAGTCCCGTCTCCGTTATTGGTGACCTTTTTGCTGCATGGACGGTCTCCATTCATGTTAGGACAAGCTGTGTAGCAGAAATTCTCAACCTTCATGAATGAGATAGTGGCACTGACTGTGATCCAGTCCGGCTTCTCCGAGGTCCCTAGATTCTCGTCCTTGATTTGAGTGATTACCTTGCGAACCTCTTGTCTTCCAGCACCGGTAAACTCCCTAGAAATCGAGATACAAGGAGCGTTACGTCCTTCTCTCTCATACCAAGCCCTCAGCTCTCTAGCTTCAGGTAAGTCTGGCTCTACGACGAGTTGACTTGATCCAATGGTGCTCACTTGTTTCCCATTAAACTCACTGATCCTTCCCGCCTTCACAGCAAGAACAGGGAACACACCAGAATCACAAAGACTTTGCAATCTCTGTCCTTCTGCATTGCAGAAGTTACCCCACATGGTTACCTCGACGCTTCTGCCTGACATATCCTTCAACTGAAGTGCTCTCTTCTGTGCCTCGGTTCCGTTTTTCCGCATAATTGATCCTGTTGGACTGATGGAAGACACAATGCCAATTACATCAGTGATGCTGTTGCTCTCCATGCTCTCAATAGCACATATCTCCCGGAAATGGAACTGATTCCGCGGAATGGCAGCATCATCCTCATAGCATTGCTGTATCGTTGACGCATTGTCTAAATGAATTTCATAATCATTGGGGAGATGATTATACTCTTTACGAGCAGGCTTCAAATTTCCCTTGGTGATCAGATAAACATTACCAGCAACAATCATGTCAAAGAACTTATCAACCACATCGTTGAAACAAGTCACCCGAATCTCATCACCAGCAGCATCAACTAGATCAAAACTGAACACCTTCCCTTCCCCACGGGTACTGTTGAAACGCCTAAGCTCTCCTTTACTCGTGACTCTCACCTTGATAGTCCACCGACCTTGGTAAGGATTCAGAGCAGCAATGGAAGATATACTCAGAGGAGCTTCGTTCCTAGCCACGGGTCCCATGTTGGCATACATGGATGGTGGTTGAGGCTGAACCGGTGGACGCGAATAAGCTCTTGGAGGAGCCCTAGTTTGTTCCTGCCTAGCGCTTCCACAACCTGTAGCAAATGGTCTAACGGGAGGTGATGTTTCAGGAAATCCAGAAGCAGTACCAAACGCTCGTTTCTCACCAACTTGAGGTTGAGGTGAATTTGTTAAACCATGTCTCTCCTGCACAGAGCTTCCATAACCTGCATTTGAGCTGACAAATGGTCTAACGGAAGGTTTTGTTCCAGGAAACTCAGAACCAGTATCAAACGCTCGTCTCTCACCAACTTGATGTTGAATTGAATTGCTTACACCATATCTCACTGTACCATTACTCAGTTCACTTCTTCTGCCCTGTTGCTGCTGCTCAAAGCCACCAATGCTTTGGGTGTTTACAGACACCACTCCAGGTTGTTGTTGTTGTTGTTGTGTCTGATCCGTGGAGGCTTGGCCAGAGCTTCTAGGCTTTCCCGGGTTTGCAGGAAGAGGGTTTCCAATGATATTGCATTGCTCCGCAATAATCTCTAGCTCCATAATAATAGCAAACCTATGATCACAAGAGGGATATTATACATTCCAATCATCCACACATTAAGGGAAAGGGAAAAAGTAAATGATCAAGTAGCTTTACGTTCGACTCTGAACGTTGTTGCAGACGAAACGAGAGAGTCTCAAGACCGAACCCACTTGAATCTTCCCTTGCTTCACGAGAAGGTTCAAGTTAGCATTAAGTATCCCATCCTGCGATTGGATCCCATCTGATAACGAAAGCTTGTACGTTTCCTGGTTCTGCCGCGCTCGTTGAACCATCTTCAACTCCGTCACTTGCAGAATCGGCATCATTTCCTTCTCCGACTTCACTTTTTCGTTCAGCATCTTCGCAATCGCTCCCGCCGTTAAACTCGCCGCCATCGAGAAAGCCCTAGACTTTTCGCACTGTCAAGAAATCCCGATTCGAGGAGGGAAATGGGTTTAACCCAGAAATCGAGAACCTTTTTGATTTCGATTGATTTGGACTTGTAGAAACTTAGAGAGTAAGAATTGAATTGGGGATTTGACAGAGGAGCCCTGAGTGGGAGCTTTGAGAGGGAAAGTACAACGTTTTGGTGAGTTTACAGTATTAACATATTGGGTCCTCCACTTTTAAGAGTTACATTTAATACCCAAATTAAAGCTTGTCTTGGAAGTTTCTATGTCAAGTGGTGGGCAGCCTACGATACTTGCAGTTAGATCAAAATTACATGAAGCCCTAAATACACGCCTAATTACGACTAGGCCTCGAACGGAAGAGCGGGACAAGTATAATTCTCCTGCACTTGCAGTTCTCCTGTATTGTTTTTGCCATTCATCTTTCTATCTTTATAAAAGCACAAAGATCTACATGCAGATCTCATCCACTAATATTTGATAGTGTTGATCTGCTTTTTTCTCTGATAAATAATTTTACAACAAATACTAACTTTATATATATATTTTTTATTTTATAAATAATTTATAATGATTAGTTCAAATAATATAATTCAGAGTAAATACTATTTGTCTCAATTTTAAAATTATAAGCAATTCATTTTTATAAGTATGACATCCAATACATACAAAAACACAATATTTTTCAAAAAAAAAGATCATGTTTTTCTATATAAATATCAACAAAGAGTTTAATATTAGTAATCTGTCGGTTCTTTAAAGATAATTTCGATCAACTAAAACGAAAATAGAAGAAGTATAAGCATTTTATGAAAAAATTCAATAAACATTTCGGCTGATCCTACATCTAAGATATTTATTTTGATATTTTGGTATAATCCTTTATTGTTTGAATATATGATATATAGTTTTGAACTATTTTGTCATTCGTAATTTATAATAAATTGTTTGATATGCATTTCTCCTGCATGATCCGCTTGATCTACACTTGTCCTACTTGATCTATACTTGTCCTGCTTGATCTGCACGAACCGTTTGATCTGCACCGCGTGATCTACTTTTACCATTCAAAACCTATTTTGGATATCGAGTTCTTTAGGTCTAGGATTCATTCAACAACCAAGGAAAGTTTGGTTCAAAATGTCTCAAACTTCAGATAGTCTTCGGTTTGGCTCACTACAGATGATAAAACTAGTGACAGATTAATCTCTAAAATAAATTCAGGTCCTTTTTGTCTATCAAATAATTTAGACATTTCAAGTAAAATATGAGATAACCCAAATAGATAGTGTAAACATATAGGAGAATTTTTACCAAATATATATATGTATATATATAGGAGAATTCATGTTATTTAAAATATTTAAAATATAAATATTCCGTTAATGCAATAATTTTTTAAAAATGAGGTAATTTAGAATGATTCGAATAATTTTGAAGAATTTGGTTTCTAGATCTTTTAAATATAATTATTCATTTTTTAAATTGTATTTTTGATAATTTGTTATTTTATTTATACAGCTAATACTTTTAAGTATTAAAATTATATTTTATATTAATGCTTTCAGATCTTTTGAGTCTTGCATTCCAAAAATTGTCGGGCAAGAGAAAAGTAGAACTCTAACTTTCAATATATAATTTCTGACCGCTCACTGCATCAACCCCGATTTATTTGTTTCCTTTTCTTTCTTTTAATGGCCTAACAAATTTTTTTTTGGCAAAATAGAGTTATTGTTAAGTTTTATGGACTTTAACTTAAAATTAATTGGTGGAAATTGTAGTGGTTCAAGTCTAGTATATATTAATATGTCTCATTCATATTTTCAATGTAAGATTTTCTCTTTAACACTCTCCCTCTTCCTTGAGATAATTTTCTACTTGACCATTATCGACATAGTTTATCATACGATTTCAAAATATTATTTTTTTTCTATTTATTTCGGCGAAATTCAACCTTTCTTGGACCATCATTTAGTTGGATTATCAGGCTTCTTTTTATCCATATTTATTTTATGTGATTAAACAACATAATTTAAAATTATATTTTATATTAATAGTTTCATAAGTGTATCATAGATATATGTGTGGTGAAAACATTAAATTGGTTACCTAAATCTAAACCTGTAAAGATCTTAAATGAACCGAATCAAAATTTATAAATATTCGAACGGATAGGAAATTTTTAACCTCAAAACTTGAAACCTAAATAGACTCGAACTGAATTCGGATGGCTTCCAAATGCCCACCCATAGTTTAAAGCATGTCGTACAATGAATATGATAATGAAAATGTAGAGTTGATCAATTTCATAGTATTAAATTTATAGTATTGAAATAACATTGGTTAATAGTATTGATAGTACCTATATATATATTAATAGATGTAGACTAACAAATTGTATGTAAACAATTGACATAAATAAAAATATATAATATAGTTTATTTTATAATGGAAATATAATACATATTTATAGATTAATATATTGGTTGGATAATTTAATGGATATATATAAATATTTGAATTGGAAATATTAGATGAGATATGAAAGAAAATAGTTATGGTTGCTAGTGAAAGATTATTTAAGAAAATATATTTATTATAAATTGAGTTAAAAATTAAATAACCTAAATAAAATTGTAATGTTTATATTTTAATAATATAGATGTCTTTGTTTGTTATCCTATGCATTCATTTGTACGAGGTTCTATATAGGGCTGGGCACAAATACCCGCTACTCGCCTTATACTCGTTACTCGCCCCGTACTTGACTCGGTTTTTCAAGTACTCGTTGTTATCAAGTCGGGTATCAAGTATTAGAAATTAGATATTTGCAAGTACAAGGCAAGTAACAAGTATGAAAAGAAAATAACTATTCGCCTTGATATTACTCGTTACTTGCTCAAAAAAGATGTTTTTGTTATTATGAGAAGTAAATAATGTTCCTATACAGAGATATATGTTTTTTTCTTGGTTCTTCTTTTTTATAACATGTACAAATATTTTTGTTTATTATATTTTTTTATGTTTTTAAGTAGAATAAACAAAATAAACTACGTTTATGTGCATTTTTTAGTGAATAATTATTGAGAAAATAATTCTTTAAATACTCGTAATTATATATCTAATTTACAAGTACTCATACATAACTTACAAGTATTTGCAAATAACAAGTAATAAATCAAGGCAAGTAAGTTGCAAGTAATTCATTTTTCAGCAAGTACTCGGAAAAACAAGTACTCGTTTTTAACAAGGCAAGTACAAGCCGACATTTTCATTACTCGAATAAGGCAAGTTAAATATCAAATATCGCTAAAATAGCAAGTACCCGCCTTGTGCCCAACCCTGGTTCTATATTTTATTGGATATGCTGTTTGTGATCTACGTTTCTATATTTTCCTGTTGCGTTCAGTGGTATGAGTTCTGTGAAATTATAATCTCTTATATATTAAAGATAATCACTATAATAAATGCGTTTGCACTATAATGGATATATGGTAATTTCACAGCGATTTGAGAATGAATATACTGACGTATCACATGTAAAAAGCTTCCCAGTCAAACTCTACATAAATATGTTTACACTATGTACTTTGCATTTTTTTTTTCAATATAAAGCTTACATGGAGGATTCCAATAAAAGCTCACACTATCCAGATTTTTTTGGTTCGAATCAAAACAGATAAAGAATCAAAAGCTCAATTATATATATATATATATATTATGTACAGATATGGTTGTGCAAAATATTTGTAAATTTTGATTTGATTTATTATCCGTTTGGATTCAAACCGAAAAATCTGAATATCCGTAACTCTATGAAGCAAATCAAATACTACAATACAATATCCATATAAAAAACATATCACAAATCACAAATACTAATATTCTTAGGAATGAATTTTGATCCATTATATGTATATATACATATATTTAAAGATATATAAGTTATATATACATATATTACAGTTTATATAAGGTTTAGAATATTTTTATGTTTTAAATTTATTATATAGGTATTAGAACTTAAAAAGTTAATTTTTTTATTATTTTTGTTATAAAATATTATTATTTTATTTTAAACTTTTTATTTTATTTACGGATCAAATCAGATATCCATTAAAATTCTAACATCTTCTGCATATCGGAGAGACTGAATATATGGGTGGCTACGGGTCGAATCGACACAAATACCACCAAATACCAAAACATTTGAATCGTGTCCACCCCTTATTAAGGATACAATTTGATTGTTTATATATGAAAAACAATTTCATTAATGCCTAGGCCTATTTTATTTTTAAATAATTTTATTTTAAGAAATTTTATCTTTTGTTTGAACAAAAATGTCATTTAATATCAATTAATAATATCTTTATATATATTTATCAACCATTTTTATATACTTTACATACACATGCATATCTACATTGACGTGAGCACCTATATAACTAAATATTCACCACAACTAAAATATCTAATTCTCTTAGAAGTTGAAATATTTTTTTTCTTAGTGCTTCTTTCACTATCAACCAAATTTTCGTAAAATGATTTGTCTTAATAATTTTCTTTTTTTCTTTTCTTTAACTATTTTCCGTTTAGAAACTATATAAGATGAAACCATTGGTTCAACTATATAAAATTCATATAACATGAAATCAAATAAATAGCAATTTTGTTATTACCAGAGAAAAACAAAAACATCAATCATTTTAACCGAATAAACCAAAATAAATATTAATTTAGAATGATAAATATATTTTAGGAGATTAAAAAAATTAAAACAACCGAAAACGGAACCGATATCCAGATTTAACAGATTTAATGTCTCCTTAATAAAAAATAATAAAACTAATAATCACATTCTGTGCAAGATGCTAATTATTACCTAGTTTAGTTGTTATTCTAGTAAAATTATTTAATTGGTTTTTTAATTTAACTGTTTTAGTATTTACTACGTCCTATTAATTAGTCCAAAACCAATATAAAATGAAGTTCTATTAAGAGCCTAATTTTCAACTCCCAAAACCGTGACTTACAACTATATTACAAAATCAAATGCATGCAAATATGTTATTATTTTTCTAATATATGTATAGTTACAATCAATCAGATAAAGTTTATTAAGTTCATGCAATGCTAGCTTATATTGTTTGTGAATTTAGTATGTACTTAGTGGTATGAACACGAAACTAAAATCTACTGAACACATGTTCAGGCGATGATATGTCACTACTTTTTGGAACACATGTTTAGGCGATGTTTGTTTGTTTCCAGTTGA